CAAAGGCGGTGGAGGCTTTTCATCGACGACATCTATCAAAATCAAGATGAAAATCTTCTTTATAAAAGAAACAACATCTAGGCAAGATAACATTCTACTTTCAATCCTTGTTTGTAGCTTCTTTGTAGTTGTGATGCTAAGGAGATGGAAAATCAACAACCAGCGGATTCGGCTCAAGAGCCTTCATTTGTTGACGTGCTAGACGAGACATTATGATTGTCACAACTTTCAAGATAACACAATCGAGATGAAGATCTTCAAGAATGACATATTCTTCCTCGAATAGATGGCGAGATATAACACGTTTGGTATCATGGCTTGGGTAGGGACTCCCGATGTTTGGTGATTTTACTAGAGGTAGGAAAAATTCCTGATGGTGTTCCAAATGTTCTATTCAAAAGAAGTTATGAAGGCCTGAATAATGATCAAATAACTGGGTGGTCTTTCCGCCCTGGTATGGGACACTATCGATGGTTGAGAGGCCCTATCAATCATCTTTGAAGAGAACAAAGATCAGAGTATGTGGCAAATAAAATTTGTCGCATCATAGATTTTCTCAACATATGATGACTGCTCCTCATGGAACTCGTCTCTAGAAGGGAGGGTAATGTCACGGACATACTCATGTAAGCCAATAATTACATATATAAATAGGTAGAGGTAAGTAAAAATAGATAAATCTAAGTTAATTCTATAGTATTTGATATGAAAGCTTCTCAAAAGCTTTATAGATGTTGCTTTGACTTTATAGGTGTCTTTAATTGAATTTTTGGGATTAGAAATGTGGTCAATAAGTTGGCCATGTACCACACATGTTGTTAGCTTGAAGACCAAGCTAACTATGTGGCCCACACGTAAAAAAACTTGTCTTGTAAGTCAAGGCATGTATCCTACAAAGTCAACATATATTGGAGATCTTATAGAATGTCGCCATGTAGCCCCTAGTTAGATAGTACATATAGAAACAAGAGTGAAGCCTTCTTCACTCTTGTCAACTTCTTTCTTATTTCCAGTCTAGTTTCAAGGGTCTTCATGTTTTCTAGTCTTTGGCAATAGCCATTCCAGTTTTTCTTTCAATATACATACTTATTTATTTATATTTCGTTACCTTTCTTTGAGTGAAGGCTCATTTGTCTGAATTACTTTTTCATCGAGTTCTTGTCTTTGATATAACTTCATAATATTTAGTATTATTAAATCTTCTTCCAACTTATTTATTTTAGATTTTTTGTATTTAAAAAAGTATAATCTTCAAATAGATTGGATTTCTTATAATTTTGATTTTTTCTATTACATAATCTAGACTTCTACTATCTAAATAGAAAGTCATAAGTCCAAACCTTTATTAAGAGGTGTAAAAGTTCTTATACCTCTTAATAAAGATTATTAAGAAGTGTAAGAGGTATAGGTTGCAAAAAAAAGGTCACTTTTTGGTACTAATATATATATATATATATATATATATATATATGTGTGTGTGTGTGTGTGTGTATGTATGTATGTGTTTGTGTGTGTGTATATGTGTGTATATATGTTTATTTATCTATATTAAAAGAATTAAATAGAGGTAAGTAGAAGTAAATTGATTTAATAATATCTTGTAAAAAAACCTCTCAAAAGCTTTATAGATGCAATTTGACTTAATACATGTTTTTAGATGATTGATAGGTTAAAAATTTGGCTAATAAGTTGATTATATATTTTACATGTTGGCTATTTGTGATAGAAATTTTCAATGTGGTGCATATATAAAACTTATTTTACAAATTAAACACATGACTTCTAAGTTTAACAGGTCTTGAAGATCTTATAGAATGTCATTATATAGCTTCTTCTTAGATAGTATATATGGAGGCAAGAGTGAAGCCTACTTTATTCTTGTCAACACTTTTTTTGTCTTTAGTCTTAGTTTTAAAGACATTAATATCTAATCTTTGGCAATAGCCATTCTAGTTTTGTATTGTACAATCTTTGAGTGATTATCTATTTTTTTTGAAAGACATAAGAAAATATTAATCCATTCGTTCTTTAAGATTCATATCTTTGACAATTTGACAAGAGTGGTAATTCATTATTTTTGTTTTGTTCTAAAGTTCAATATATTATTTTATTTTTTATTTTTTGCTTTAAAAGTTGTTACCTATCTACTTTTAAATCAACATTTTTTTGTCTTCTATCATTGATTCTTATCTTTAAAAAAAATAGATTATTTTTTTATGAAAATTTTTATATGATATTAGAAGCTGTATCATGTTCACTATATATAGATTGAATCTTTGTCAAAAAAGTCTTTAAATAATCTAATATTTGATTATATTATTCAATAAAAGATAAAAACCATAATGATATAGAATATAAATAGTGTTGCAAAAACTTGATTTATAATTTTAAAGTTAAATAGCTTTGACATTGAAGTTCAATAACAAGTTGTATTGGATTGATGAATCCTTGAAATTTTCATCTTGTACTATCAAATTTTTCAAGAAAATATAATTCTCGATTATTTAATGCTTAAATAATATTTGACTATAGAAAAAATAACAAAATTTGGTGTAGATATTGAAGCAACTTGAATCATCTCTACATCTTCATTTCTTTTTAATCTTCTTGCTTGTTGTGGTAGTAAATTGAGTTGATGCTTAGCAAGCATTATTTCCTTTATTTTCTTTGTATTTATACTATTGCACTCTTTACTTCAACAGGCTCTTCTATGATAACACTAAAAAAAATCGAATATTACTCAAAATAACTAAAAAAAAAATGACTAAAAAAATAACTACTAAGAACAATATCAATTTATAAGTGGATAATCTATAATTTCTAATATGCTTATATCATATCAATAAAAAGAGTTAATTATTTTTTAATCAAAAAAAGACAAATCTCTAATATTATAAGTATATTTTCATCAATGTATCAAGGATAAGAACTCAATAAATGCAAATAAATAAGTGAGGTCTTTTTCAATGAAAGATGACAAAAAGAAAATAAGTAAATATGTATATTCAAAAAGAAACTAGAATGGCTATTGCCAAAAGACAAAAAAAAATTAAAGACCCTTCAAACTAGATTAGAATTAAAAAAAGACTTGACAAGATTGAAGAAGGCCTCACTCTTGTTTCTATACATACTACCTAATTAATAGCTATGTGGCAATATTTTACAAAACCTCTAACTTGTCTTCAATCGCAAGACATATGGTTAACTTGCATGATAAGCTTCTTATATGTGCGCCACATATTATCTACGTAATTATTAGATTAAATATAAATACTTATGACATTATAAAATTAAAATATTTCTTTATGATTTCTATAATAATAAAGACTTTATGTGGCTATAATCAAGTATTTATTTTATATTAAAAATATTAAAAATAAAATATTAAATATCAAATTTTAATTTTTAATATTTTATCAATTTTATAAACATTTATTATAGGTTTTATTTTTAATTATTAATAATAATAATTTATATTTATTTTATTTTATTCTTAAAAAATTAAATTATTTAATAAGATATTAAATAATATTATATAATATTCTAAAAATAAAATATAAATTAATCTTACATCTTATATTTTTATAAATGGTATATTAAAATAATTATATAAATATTATATTAAACTATATTATATATAAATATTTATAAAATCTTAAATTTTATATTACAATCAAGTAAAAAGAAAAAAAAAAAAAAAAAAATTAATGCATTAAACTTCATATATTATAAAGATATATACACGGCTATGATATGTGACTAAGTTAAATTTTGAGCTTCTATAAATTAAAAAATTAAAAAATATCAAATGATAGATATATTTTTTTTAAATAATAAATTAAAATGATTCAAATAAAATATAGGCAATTTTTTTTTCAATTATCATGGATGCATTTCTTTTAAATTTTATGCACTAAAAATATCATAAGTAATAAGATGAAGAAAATTTTGAATAATAGACTATTTTATATTTTTTTTAAATAGGATGACTTTGCATATATGATAAGAATAGTACTTATAATAAAAGATAGACCAAAAAATCTAAATATCTTTAAGTTTTTCTATAATCTACTGGATATTATTAATTTTAATCCTCTCAACTACAAATACAATACTAAAAAAAAAATTATGTATTATATGACTAAATTAAGCAAGAAACTTCTAAACTTCAAGCCAAAAAATTAGAATATAAGAAAAAAAAGTAAAAAGGCATTTTGACCTTATGCAATGATTTAAAAATCATGTTTTCAAAGAGTCTATTTATATAATAAATTTGAGTCTTATATTTAATTCTAAATATTTTGAAGGTCTATAAGAATCTTATTATTTTTCTTCTATGTCTACTTTACTATCAAAAAAATTCTAAAAATAATATTACAACAATTTTAAGATTACAAATATGTAAGTAATGTTTGGAACTAAGCAACTTTTGTCTTATATAAGTTAATCTCTAGATATAATAGTGCAAGTCATTGAAATACATTCTTATAAAATCAAGCTTCATCTTTTTTCATCCCTTCCATCTCAATTTAAATATTTTAATACTATCTAGTCTCTTCTTAAAGGACTTTATTTGTTACACATATGAATCTAAAAATAATACAAAAGCATTTAAAAAAGAGAAATAGAATGACTTTTAAGTTAGAAAAAAATATGGATAGATATTATTTGCTATTATAGAACTAAATGAAAAATGACAAAAGGAAGGACTAAAATACAATCTAATCTAAGGATTGAGTTTCTATGGTGATAAAATAAAACATGGTTTAAAAAAAATACACTAGAATTTAGAAAAGCATTTCTAAATTCTAGTGTATTATTTTTAGATTCTATAATTATACAATCTAATTATACAATCTAATTGTATAATTAGATGGAGCCATTCAATTACATTATGTGGGGTTATGATACATTTCAAACCCAACCTCAAATTTGAGTACAATAAACAGATACAGTTCATTCTCTAGCTCCATTGTTTGCCTAAAATATCAGATGTAAAACAATGGCAACATGCTTTTCAAATTTTTATTATTATTACTTAATGTAAGCCACGTACATACTCTGTACATGTCAAAAAATCCACGCCCAAAAGCTTGACTCTCACAAACAAGACAAAAGACCATAATACCTCTAAAACATCGAAGTCCTATGACACTTGTCCACGTCAAAGACATGGTACGTGGCACTACTGCAACATGCACTAATGTTCCAACACAGGATCATATCGACACTCCACACCCACAAATCCACGTCAGACTACACCATCACCACCACAATAAACTGTTCCAAAATTCCTCCTTTCCTGTTAACCTGAACGCTATTTCTTCACATCCGGGTTTCCAATACCAGCCACAAAGAGTATTGTGAATATGAAACTGGTGAACTAAACAATAAATCACCAAGCTTCAATCCCAACGGCAGATGCTAAATGCACCGGACTGGAGTGAATTCTGCAACTGCAAAGGCCTTTGGCGGCACGGCATTGACATGAAGAGACACTGCATCGACATGTGCAGGCAGGAATACAGTATTACTCAAAGCAGACTCGTTATTATTCAAGTAAATCACACAACACAACCCACTATCACAATCACATGTTTTAGCGTTGTTCCAACATAGGTAGCTGGAACAACAGCACCTGAAAAGAAGGTGGAACGCGGAACATTTAAAGCAGTGGTCGACTGAGGAGCCAACCATCGACGAACGGATCCGCTTGGGCAGATGGCGCCTAGGTACTGCCCTGCGATGCAAGGGAAAGCACTCTGCGAGTCCTACTAACACACGGTAAACCAGAGCCCATCTCCTCCAGTATGAGCCTCACAATTTGCTGCAATCAGCGCCCCATGTTGCAGGTGTAGTAGCGCCTTGCAGATGGGGGTGTGGGTGGAAATCCTTGGCCCTCGTAGGCTTCCTTCAGCAAGCACTCCTCAAAGTCGTTTGCGGTGTTGCGGAACTGCAGGCGCAGGGGCTTGATTCGCCAGTCAATGCTAAACTGTCCGCCTTTGCACACATCCTTAAACTGATCGAACCCTTTCGTTCCAGGGCACCGCCCTACCTTTGTCTGGTCGCCCGTGCACCCGTGCACTCTATTCGCAGCCAGGTTGCATCCAGGAATCATGCATGTACTGCCTGTGCACGCCAGGGGCGTGTCATCCTGGCTGATCCGCACTGAGCCAGCATAGGCAATCGGCACGAGATTTCCTGGTATGGTCAGGATCGTGAAAATACTGATCACGGCCCCGAAGCTGCTGGACTCCGCTCTGTCTTTCGCCATCTTAGCCAGCGACGACAGGTTGACTCCACTGAATCCGGCAGGTCAGAGGGATCACTGTGCATACAAACCGCCTGTCGTCACTATTCCAACTCATGAACAGACGTACCTAGAGCAGTGTGGTAAAACTAGATTCGTGGTACTCACGAACACGTAAAGCACTAGCTAGATGTACCATGGCTTGTAAACAATCCTACAACTCAATCCTGTCCAATGCCTAGAAAACCAAGATCCGACTTCGGAAAGTGAAAGCAACTCAAACAAGTCCGGATTGGGATTGAGCGAAACATCTAAAGAATGCTCCGGAAAGTCATCATGCAGGTGGCCGAAGGGGACATACCTGAGTGAAACCTGCTGAAATGCAGCTAAATACAGGGAACCTTACAATAGAAGAATACTGAATATAAGTAGACGCGTGCAAGGGAACAGTTAAGAAGGAACAAGCCACCAGGATTGGCGATGGGAAACCGGAGAAGGAAGCAGTGCAGAGTGGTTGCACAATAAGTTCAGGAGGGCTGTTCAGCATGAGGGTTTTTATAATAGAGAGTACCCAGTGTATCCGCTGACAAAATAGGCAACTCGTCTCCGATGTCTATCGACGCAACGACAATGCAACCACTACCACGCAAGCGTGATGTAACTGGCGCTACAAGTGGAGTCTCTAGGACTTCAGAAGTCCTAGTACTCTCGTGCACAGCAAAGTCATGACATGTTGCACTGCAAGATGTGAACCTTAATGCTGTTGATTCATTTCCAGGTCTCCAATATGATACCCAAGAATATTGTGCATCTGAAATTGGTTAACTGAACAGGGAGTCACCAATCTTCATTATCTTCAGTCAAGCTCATTTTGTTGGATTGCATGAATTTCTGTCCTTCCAACTGAAGTTGCCTCAAGTAGTCTCAAGTGCCTGTCACTCAGTATTCGCGTAGCCAATTCCAAATGCAGTGCACCCAATCACTGAACGCATTTCAATCATCTGCGATTTTGCAACACAGTCATGAAACATTACCATCTCATGAACAGCTAGCGCTACGAGTAAGTAGACATCTCACCAGCAATGGCCACAGTACCAGAGCATAAAAGAACTGCAAACACTCATCTTTCCCAGCAGCCTCCCTCATCGACAACCGACCGGATACAATACCCATTGAATCTTCGTGGTTTAACTTCAGTGAGCTAAATCAAGTTCGTCGACTCGAAGGACTACTAACTCTTGGTCGGACCGACCCACATCGCCCAGCAACATTTGTATGTCCAGGATCACCAGTTTCGGCAACTCTCATGGACACTCTTCACAGCACAAGCATGTGAGCTTTTGTAAATACCATTGGCCACGCTTCCGAACAGCTTGCACGGAACCCTCTAGCTGATCACTGCACCTCGCATCGCCATCATGAGTTCGATGAAAGACAATGCACTGAAATTTAGCTATGTATGTATTTATGTATATATATATATCTCGCTCTCTATCTCCAAGGACTTCGACGTCGAAGCTCCAACGATGAGAGGCACCAGTCATTCATGCCCTAACTACCTGCATGAAATGACTGAACATGAAACGACTGATACTTCGCCGCATGTGCTTCCGTCTTGGCTCATGCTAACTATCCATGGGATGGTGTGTAGGCATATCCCTATGTGTGTATGTGTGTGTGTATATATGTATATATATATATATATATATAGAATGGTCAAAACGTTTTGTGAAATGCAAGGTCGGGACTGCTTCTTATTGCCGACACAACCAGGGCGATTAGTGGCAGATCCTGCAGTGTCGTTTTGAATCTGATGCTTCTGCATCTGATCCTGGAATTGTGTATTATTTCTGTTATCACCTTGTTTCTACGATTCTGTTGTCCAGTCTTCCACTTGTAGACACGGGGTTTAGGAATTGGAAATCCAGGATTTTACTCTAAAACTTAAAAGAAAACCCTGATTCCCGATCGTCTAGTTTTCACTAGTAGTGGGTGAAAAAAGGATATTAGGAGGGAGGAAAATGGTCAATGTGGTCTGGTATCAAACTAGTTTAAAGTTTTACACCATATCTCAATCCAGGCAGAAAATGATTTAAAATTTTGCTTCTAGTCTATATATATATATATATATAAACAACAATGAGTGGTTATGTGGGATGCATGAATTTGTAAAATCAAATATTGTATGCATTGTGAAATTAAAAACTGTCATGTTTAAATTCTTTTTGCATAAGTTATTGGACAAGGTTGCAAATCTTAGATACTTAATATTGATTTTGGATTCTTCTTGAAAAAGAGTAAGAGTCTGTAATAAAAATGTATACTTATTTTTAATGTTTTTTTTAAGAAGAATATAGTATTTGTGATTTTATAAATTTAGAATATATAGAATATTACAAATTTATTGTTCCAGGGACTACACTATCAATTATAGAGAAAAGCCAATAATAAAAATAAATACAATAAGTAATTGGATGGAGTCACATTAATCTATTAGTATTAAAGAAAAAATAATTTTAATTATGATGAGTACATGTTGGAGTTATAAAAAATGTTATTATATTAAAAAAAAATCCTTACAAATTATTTTCTAATAGACTTTCTTGTAAGTATGTTAGGATCTTAATTAAATAAGAATGTTAGCAAGTAGATGTGGATATAGACATTTTTTACATCAAAATGGATAACTTAGCCAACAATGTAGCCTAAGAATATTTTGCAAAAGAGAGGCATTTTAAAAAATAATAATAATTAATAGTTAGTACAACTTAGAAGAGAGGTTCATATCACAATAAATATAGGGAGTTGTTAAAGCCACATCCTGTTCCCTTCAAACCATGTGATGATTAATTTTGAAAAATAGGGAACAAGGGATGGAGATAGAAAACAAGGCACAATACTTCAGAATAAGAGACAAGTCACATGAAACAAAGAATAGACAAAGAAATGAATGGAATCAATCATGGTAATGTGAGGTGTGACTTTAACAACTCCCTAATTATATATATAGTAGAAAAAATAATTTTTATTTTAAAATATAATATAACAAAGATTATAAAATATCTTTTATTTTTGCTGTAATTTTGAACATTTAATAAAATATATACATTTTTCTTTTAAAACTTAAAATATATATACTACTAATACAAGCACAATGCAAGTAACAAAGATAGTAGAGATGATTGTTTTTTGAGAAAGATTGTTAAAATACTAAAATAAAAAATAATAAAAGAAAAAAACTTTAAAATTAGTCAAAAATAATAAATAGGCATGCTTTATAGTTGATTATTCTAATATATAAATTATCAATCTTAACTTGCAAAAAAGTAGATGCAAGCAATGTGTGTAGATTGTTCAAGTTGATTTCTAATAGATACTTTGAAGGTATCAAAAGAAGGTTTTTAAACAAGCATGATATTCAAACAATTGTCAAGTATGAGTCTAAAAATAAAAATATTTATAAAAAAAAATAAGATTATAAAAATAAAATTTTATAAATATATATAAATAAAAAAGAAAAATGAAGATATAAAAATTATAAGAAGATCCTTAACTAATATTAGTCCAAAAAATACCTAGTAGTACAAATACAATAAGGCCAAAAAAAAACAAAAACAAAAGGTACAACAACAAAAGAATTTGCAACAATGACTATAATCATTTAAGTAATAATTTTTTATATATTTTTACTATTAATAATAATAAAAATACAGTAAAATAATAATAATAGAAATATAATCTAAAAAAAAGTATAGCCACAAAGTCTTTACATCCAATATTATTTTAAATAAGAAGTTGACAAGAAAAGCAAGTAAAATAAGTTTAATTAGATGAAGATGGAAAGATAGAATAATAATAATAATAATAAAAATCAAGTAGAAGAAATTGAATCCAACAAAATTGGAAAGAGATATAAGGTAGCAAGTCTAAATAAAGTAAAAAAAGAAGTAAGAGATACTAGGCTTAGAAGAAATAAAAAAATATAAAGAATGTTTAATATAGATTATTAATAACCACCAATAATATTATATAGTAATTTTTTTTAAGATAGCCAATTTAGTACATCAATATATTTTATTTACAAATTAATAGACTTTGAATATTATTTTTAATTAATTTGAATATACATCTTAAATCTATTTAGAAGAAGAATCTAAAATCAATATTTTATTTTTTAAAATTATTAACCTTTATTGATATTTATTTTATAATAATTTAAAATTAATATTTATAATATATAAAAAAATAAAGAAAGTTAAATATTTAAATAAGATTAATATTAATTTATTTTAAAGATTCTAAATAAAACTTGTTAAAACTATAAATTCTAATTAATCGGCTTTTCTATTATTTTGGTTCATTTTATATAATATCCTTATATATTAAGAAATTATAAGCTTTAATAAGGAAATCTAAATAACCTATAATGCTCTAATAAAGTTTTTTTCTCTTTGAAAGTCAATACTTTATGTTCATTCAATCAACCAACTTTTTGTTGTGAATTGCTTTAAGCATGCAATTCTCTAGATATTAATCAAGTACATAGAAGTATTTTAGTTGTCATGAATGGCATCAACCCAACATGATAAATCAAAATTATAACCAAAGTTTTATATAAGAATGAATACTGCTACATAATCAAAGCAAGCTTTGGTATCCATGAAATTTCCAAAGTAACTTAACTATGATATCCTTGATTCATCCAAAAATCTACAATATCTATGACCAAGCCAAATTAAAATTTCTTTCATATCTACAATCCAATCAAATTAAAATCTCCATAATGTCCACTTTTTAGCTAATATCGACAATGTCTACAATTACGTCAATTTGATGGAACTTAAAGGGCAAGGATTTAATTGGGTAAAAAATAAATAAATAAATAACAAGGAATTGGCGGACATAATTTTCTTTGAGTTTCTCTTATTTTTTTTATCCTAAAATCTAATGTTATGTATAAAAAAAAATGATAAGAGAACTATTGTCGAGGAAAAGAGAGTTTGCCTTGAGAAAGCGTTGGGCTTTTGACTCACACTAAATTCTCAATTAATCATAAGATGAAAAATACTCCAAGTTTATTTATAATTTTGTTTTTATTCCTTTCCATGATATTAAACATAGTAGCAATAAACATTAAATGCCAGGCTTCTGGTAATAGTAAAAGTTGTAGTAGTAAATAATAATTATCAAACCTCCAATAATAGTAAAATTTATAGCAGTAAATAATAATTACCAGACTTCTAGTAATAATAAAAGTTATAGCAGTAAATAATAATTACCAAGACTCCAATAATAGTAAAAGTTGTAGCAATAAATAATAATTATCCGGCCTCCAATAATAATAAAAGTTGTAGCAATAAATAATAATTACCAGACCTTCAATAATAGTAAAATAAATCAATAATTTCCAAATATTTCGTAATTTCCAAAATCGTTGTTGTGGTAGTAAAATCCTTGTAATACCAAAATTCCTTCAATACCAAATCCCTTTGATGCACTGAACTTTAAAATTTAATAATTCGCAATCCAACCGTTAGATTGAGCTCAAATTTTTTGAGAAGTAAGGCAGTACCCTTAACTCTTTTATATCCAATTTTCAACCATTGATTCTTTACAAAACTCTAGATAACACAATTTCAGTAGCAAAGCCTTTACATGTTGAATTTCAAACACCTATATACTGATTTTGCGATTTCTTACAAACCCAATATTCAAATGACATGTA